CCGTCCGTCCGTTTTTTTACTACGGGCGGACGGCAAGAGGTTAAGGCATTCCAAGGCTTGTTTCCTCTTGGGACTAATTGTCTCCAACCCTTCAGGCTTTGGTAAAGTCTCCTTTTGAAGCACCTACAGGAATATTCCATCAAGATACTTGACATACTTATCCTTTATCTAAGTTGATACCATTGCTGTGCGGATGAGTGCCCTATTCTCATCTATCTGGGATCCTTTTATGACCATCCTATCAAAGTATGCCTTCTTAGAGTAATCTTGCGGCCTTTTTGTGATTTTTTTATTTTTTTTTATTTTTTTTTTTACACTCCTCTAAAGTAGCCTACTTGTTTCAATTTTCCCTAGCCCTGATCTCTTCCTTCACTTTGTGACCATATAGCTAACGGCAAATTTAATTGTTTAGATATAATATGTTGTCCTTATTTAAAAGATGGGGTGAGGGATTGTTTCATCTTCTGGTGTTTGGTGGTCCGGACAAGTGTCTTCAAGCTTCTAGGAGTCCCTTTGCTTGCTGGTTTGGAAAGCTTGAATTTTGGTGTATAAATCTGCGAACATAGGTCCACCTTCTAATGTCAAGCCATAGTCTACAAAATTAATTGGCTTACAAAGGCAGGGATAGTCGGAGCTTTAGGTAAAGATATCATCTGCTTAATCCAGTTTATACTATGTTTTTATAAGGCATTATCAGTAGAAAATAAATGGAACCTCACTCTTGACTCCTATAATATAGTACATGTTATATGCTGGAGGTAACATGTAGTCCCTCACAGGATCAAGCTTGGAGCGGTGGAGGTAAAAAAAAAAGTGTGGTGTGCAATATAGTGAAATGGAAAGTATAAAATTATACAGCAATCAATGCAGAATGGCACCGGCTACGGATTACTACAAATCCCAGAAATAATACATTGCAACAGCGCAATACAGAATACCACGAGCTATAGAGGAATACAACAAATCCCAGCAATGGCACATTATAGCTGGTGGTATTCTGCATTGCACTGTATAATGTATTATTGCTGGGATTTGTAGTCCTCTATACAGCGCAATGCAGAATACCGCCAGCTATAGAGGAATACAACAAATCCCAGCAACATAATATACATACAGTGTATAATGTATTGCTGGGATTTGTATTCCTCTATAGCTGATGGTACATTGCGCTGTATAACATACAGCACAATGTACCATCAGCTATAGAGGAATACAAATCCCACTATCCCAGCAATACATTATAGAGCACCATGTGTGGGAAAGTGCAGGCTTACTTGATAACACACAGGAAGATTATCCAACGAACAAAACAAATCTCTATACTTAATTGGGAAGTAGCCACAAGCTGTAACAAAGGTGTAACAATACTAAGGGGCATAGACAGTCCTACTAAAGGCAACGAAATCCACAGTCAGTTATGTTTTTGTAAAATAGTTTTCCGTTTTTGTATTTTTTCTTGTTTTTTATTTTTTCGTGTATTCTGCTTTTTAACTAGTCGACGAAAAGAGTTTGGCCATATCTGTTACTATTTTTGATACTTAAATAAATACTAAATTTTAAAGCAATCTAAATACTCATGGTCTGTCCCGATCATTAAATTAACCCTTGGACTGCCTATACTAAGTAGGTGGACCGAACCTATCTGTTGTGTTTTCCCTTTAATGGTTATTGATCAGGTAAGACAGACCTAACTTTACAGGGAGCAAATTTGGAGCTTGTATCTCCAGGAACGTAACAACCCCCTTTTTTTGTTACTTGAGCAGTCTTCCAGCAACTTGCTTCTGAGATCGGCCTGTCTGTCAGCGGCTGCCATCTCCCCACGCCTGCTCCTCCTTACTACTTCTCCCCAAGTCCCTGTGCTGATCGCGGATGTGGGCGGGTGGTTGACGGGTCTGGTAGCAGCGAGCATGAGGCGGGGAGGAGGTGCGGCGGGCGGCGCACAGGGCGTGTGTGCAGCCATGAACAGGGCCAACTAATCGAAAGCCGATTAATCGATGATTGAAAACATTGACAACTTTTATCATCGACATTGAAAACATTTATAATCGACTTAGTCGATTAGTTGTTGCAGCCCTACTTATGGAGCATTGCTCCCTGTCAAATCAAAGCTGATGCAATTTTATGGTAGTGAAATGAAAAACTCTATTAAAGTGACACTAAACACAGGACTTAAATCTTAAAGAAAAAAATACAATTAAGTTCCTTAACCGTTTAACAAAATCGCTTAAACCTTCCTCAAATCTTCTCTTAATTGGTGCGGACACTGTCCTTCCTTCTGGAGGGTGGCTTCTTTTGTTCCATGGTCCATGTGTGTGTTGTAAAGTTGCCACCGCTCCAAAATAACTCCCATGATAGATTATAATCTCATATTTAGTTTACTAATTTGTGTTGAACTTGTAGTCCATCACAGGAGTGAGCTTGGAGCCGTGGCTACTTTACAATACACACTGAGACCATGGGGAAGAAACATATCCCCCCTCCAGAAGGAAAGACAGTGTCGGCACCAATTCAGAGATGATTTGAGGATCTACAGCCGAGTGATACACAAATAAGATATATTTTTGTTAATAGGAAAAGTGGACCTTCACCCCCTTTGACTAAAAATTACTTCAGCATACAGTGCTGCATGCTGATATGAAATAATCTTGCATTCATTAGCTAAACAAACATATTTTATTTTACTTAAATTTTTTTTCCACTTCTGGTCCTCTCTTGCACACCTGATGTAATGTACCTAAGCATTGCATCCTGGGAAGATTACATTAGCAGAGCATTGCTGGGAAATCACCTGTAATGTTATGAGATCTCATGGAAAATCATTTTCTTCTCCTGAATAATGTGCACGCTCACATGTCCTAGTCGCATGTGCCAGAGTTCCAGGAAGTAAATGGAGATGGATTAATCTGCCCTTAGTTAAAATGGCTGCTGTCAGAAGACTGGGGAAGAAAATAAAAATAAGGTATGCAAAAAATACAAAGCCGGCAATTATCTAGAAGTTTTGTGTTTGCAGATTGTCATTACTAAACATTTCTAACGGTTACCTGTGTGTATGTATGTCTGTATTGTGCAAATTATATGTAACACTAGAGCTATTGCATGTCAGGCGTTCTCAGACTGCTGCACAGTTGCGTGTTCCTGCAAAGTGGTAGTCCCATCCCTGATGGCCACCTATCTGGCTGGCTGTTGTTATTCTTGATATTTTAAAGTTTTTTACTTGGAAGTGTACATTCTGGCTCAATGTGAGAATTCATTTCTGACAAACTTTTGAATTATTTTATGGTATAAAAAAGCCCCGTTCTTCCTTGCTTCTGTTGCTGGTTCCACTTGATGGCAGACTTGCCAGCCTGAAGTTGTATGTCTCTGCTATCTACCAAGAGTTAAATATCAAAACCTACTGTGAAGAATGGGAGGAGTGTTGCCCATAAGAACCAGTCAGGTTCCAGCTAGCAGTTCTTATGGAATCGATTATATGAAAAATAACACCTGATTGGTTTAATTTGGGAATAACCCAATTTGCTTCAATTCTTTTTCATCACTGGAAGTAGCAGTGGGAAATTAGTTCAGAGGCGTGCTGTCAGCGCAGTATTTACCCTCAGGGTTACAAAGATCAAAATTCGGTATTTATCAGCGATAACATGCGTAGTCATTATTGCATTTGGAAATGACTTGGTGGTTATGATACAAATGAGCTGTAGATTTGTACAAATATGGAATTATGTGGGCTGCTAAGCTTGGCCACATTTGATATTGCATTGAGAAATCTACCTTCTGCATAATAGGTGTGAACATTGGGAAATCCTTTCTTACGCCTACTTACAGACATTTGCAAATCGTTATAATTGGCACTTTATAAAGTGATACCATTAATCTCTGTGTTCGTTTCCTAATAATGACAGAGACGACTTCTGTTTCAAATAAGAATGCTAAGATGTTGTGTCTGAAGCTTTCTTTCAAAAGAATAGGAGAATTTTTGAATGTATAGCAAAGTTCACATTTCTCACACTCGGGTTTAGTTAAAAAAGTCACACAAAATGTACACAACTTTCACCCACATTTGTTTTACTACATCCAATTTGAAAATGTGTGAATTCTTGGCTAAAAATGCATGAATCTTGGATAAAAAAAATATATAAACAGACCCCTTAGTGTTGAACTGTTTTCTCATGTTGACCTGACACAAAGTAACAATATAATAATAATAATAATTAATAATAAAATAAAAAAAACCTACCTTTTTACTATCAAAAAGTAGTCTTTGACCTCCAGTTCTGTGACCAGTCTGCTGCAGGCAGTAGGAACCATTTCCTCAGTCTCATCTCTCCCAGTGAACAGACTGCAACATTGTAACTTTGCAGCGAGGTGAGAGGCTTCAGACAGGGTCTGGTCTGTGTCAGAAATTTGTGGATTGCGCAGGCACCACAATGCACACGGCTGTGTCCTCTCTAAGCTAGCATTGCAGTTATGAGATCACTCGTATTAAAACCGAGCAGCGGCGACGATCGAGATAACCATAGAGCAGACGAAGAATAGACGTTCTTCGCCTGCTCTGTGTCATCACTGAGACCGTGGCGCTGTAATCACAGCGCCACCTGTCTCAGCGGTCACTAACTGCAGCTTCTGTCATAGAAGCTGTGACAGAAGCTACAGTCTCGAGTGCTCCATAAGGCGCGCCGGACCTCCCTGCGTCCTATGGTCCGGTGCGTCTTATGGACCGCAAAATACGGTACTTTTGCACGATATTCTAATCGAGTTTCACCTGTAGATGCTGACCCTAGATGATGCTTGAACAAAGATGGCTCCATCCCTCTAGAGAGAAGAGCAGATGAGGTCAGTTGCACATAACATGAAAACCTCTATTTCATGCTAGGCCCACTTTAACTATGGCTGTGCATACAAGCTTGCCAGACACACGGCACACAGTTGGTGTTTTCTTTGTAAAATGTACACTATGAGTTGAATTGCTGTGCTTTAATCCATGTTTTTCTTTTCTTGCATCACAGAGCTAGAGAATGGCACACATCAAGGCACCATCATCTGCATCCATGTGTGACTCTTCTTTTTCTTCTGTGCTACCCACTCCTGCCACCAGTGCCAGTCAGATGAGTGTGCAAAGCTCCCTGAATGGGTCAACTACAGAAACGGCCACAGGCAGCCCCCCTGAGAGTTTGGTGGATTCTTCTTCCTCTGCAAGTTCACCAGGTGTGGCTGCTGAAGATGGGAAAGCCAAATTCTTGGAAGGTACAATCAAACCTGTTATAATAACTGCTCTGCTGTGTACAAAAAGAGGGTGGTGCCTAAAAGTGAACCTTTGCCCTTAGAGGTAACACTAACAGGTTCTCTTTATGATCCATTTCCTCTGTTATTAACACTAACATTCCCCAAGCATTCACATTCACCCTCCTCAGCCCCAAGTGAGCTGCGTTGGAGCTTATACAAAGCTTCAGACCTTCTTCACATCTCCATGTGTCAGTGTTTGTGCGTGTTGGTAGGCAGCATAGGCATTATGGGAGAAAGGGGAGAAGGTGACTTGAATCTGGAGGTGCTAACTCGCAGGGATGCTTGAGGCTTAAAACTGGTTATACAGCATTACAAATCCTTTGGCAGGGACATTATTGGACCGAGATGTGTAATGCATGCCAATTATTAAGCAACATATACAATTCAATAAGATCGTCTTGCCGCTTTTGTACTGTTTGAATGCAAATGGCAAAAGATTTGAGTTCTCCTTTAAAGGCAATCTGCCATGAGCAGCTGAGAATGATAGCGGCTGCCATTCTTTGACTTCTGGGCGCCATATTAGTTCTTGGATAGTAGAACTGAACCTATTCAACTTTAAGGAGAACTATGGGTAAGTGACTTACACTCATAGCCCACTATATACTGAGTTTTGGGTCATGGGAGGACGTTCGCATGTGTCCTCCCGTGACCTTAAAGAGAACTATGAGGGAAAAAAAGGTTATACCATAGTTCTCCTTTTAAAACATGTCTAAATCCAAAAGATCAATGTCTTGCATCTCAACAGTCCTTGGGTGTGGTGGTTGCATCCGTTTTCATTTGTAAGTCTTCCCCGCCCCCCCTTTTTTTTTCCTGATGATCCTGAGACTGATACACTTCCTGTCCATTCACTCTTTACAGTCTGGACTTTAAACATGTCTACCTTTTTGTTCATCTTCTTTAAATGGGGATGGGGAATTAGTTTTACAGAAGGAAGATACGATTGGTTCTTTTCTGGCAACATCAATCAGATCTTTTCTGTACTTGCTGAAAATACAGGTGTAAAATCTTCTTAAAACTTTGTGCAGTGTGAGATGCCAGGGTCTGTTTTCGGGGATAGTCCCAGTCACATTCGTGTTCCTAGATGTGCGGTATGGTCATTGGCAAGCCTGCTGCCTGACAATCAGCTTACAGTGACACTAACCTCAGGAGTTAAACCTTAAAAATACATTTAAGTACCCTAACAGAAATGTATCCTATTTGTGTATCACAGCTGTAGATCCTCAAATCATCTCTGAATTGGTGCGGACACTGTCCTTCCTTCTGGAGGGTTGCTACTTTTGTTCCCCATGGTCCCTGTGTGTGTTGTAAAGTAGCCACCGCTCCAAAGTTACTCCGATGAAGTACTACAATCTCACATTTTAGTTTACTAATTTGTATTGAGATTGTAGTCCATCACGGGAGCAAGCTTGTAGCTGTGGCTACTTTACAACACACACAAATTGAACATGGGAAACAAAAGTAGCCACCCTCCAGAAGGAAGGACAGTGTCCGCACCAATTCAGAAATGATTTGAGGATCTACAGCCGAGTGATACACAAATATGATACATTTTTGTTAATAGTTAAGGTACTTGAATGGATTTTTAAGATTTAACTCCTGAGTTTAGTATCACTTTAAATATGGATATTATTACAGTGTTACAGAAAGAAAGTGGGTTTTTTTTGTCTCTTTTTTTCGGGTGATTTTATAGACCTACTTCTACAAACATCATTGTGGTCAGATGTCAGAGAAACGTATGTAAAGGGTGATCTCTTGAGGGTGGGGAGAAGTGTAAGGTGCTGACATATGATTTGCCTCATTACAATACAAAGTAATTTAATAGGAAATCTGCTTAAAGAGGAACACCAGGCAAAGTGCTAATTACACCGATGAAATACTTATTTGGGAACTGTTTAACCTGCTAAATGATTTGGACTGTATGTCTGTCCATCCATTCCTGAGATTTACTACGCAGCACAGGTGGCTGACACCACTTTTTTGTTTGGTATGTACTGTAGAATTTATAAGGTTGTGTCTTGTCTTCACCTCGGCCTATGGATTAGACAGTGGGAGAGCATAAGGAGACTGATAGTGATCCCCTGGTCACTCTATTTCTTTCTGCTATTAACATGTTCCTAGTCGGCACATCTTCATGCTGCAGATCTGGTTGGCTCCCAGTTCATTCGTTCTCTCTCCTGGTCTGGGGGCTGCTGTATAGTTGATTGCATTAAAAAAAGATACATGGAATGATGTATTAATGAATACAGAGCCGCATTAATGTGTGTCTTATATCTGCCTGGAGTTCTTTAAGACCTATTTTGACAAGCCTTTGAAAAGATTCTTTACTATTGTTTTTTTGATTTCAAAACAATTGCTCTAGAGGAAGCCTGTTCAGATTTGCCACTAGCCTTATAATACAGCATTTTCTCTATCTCCATATCCAGTGCCTCTCCATGAAAACATGACAAACCCCAAAGAGAAAACGCCAATGTGTTTGGTGAATGAGTTAGCCCGCTTTAATAGGATTCAGCCACAATATAAACTTCTGGATGAAAGAGGACCAGCGCATTCCAAGGTAAGGTTACTCCATCTACCTGTGTATGGCCAGCTTAAGTATATGTACAGTATATTTGTGTATGTGGGCTGATATTGGCACATTCCAAAAAAAGCACTTGGGTGTGACCTGAACTCAATATGGTTAAAGAAAAAGTTAGTTTCTACCAAAGTGAAAATATTCTCCCTGCCCAGCCTTCCTAAGCTTCTTTTCCACAGAAAGACAGCTGACATCTGCCCCAATGTTTACATCTTCCTGTTGAAATCTGGGGATGCTTGGGAGATGATGCCATAATATTGAGGGCTTACAGACAGGCATGGACAGCAGGGAAGAAAATTTCCCACATTTCCCAGGAAGCACTGCAGCTCAATTCTTTAAAAAGAGGACTCTCCGCATAATTTGTCAGTTGTTGTGCTTCCGGCATGGCAGGAGCAGTGAATTGGAACTGTGCAGGTGCTACGTGTTCTTAGGCGTTAATGCTTTGAAGGTGTGAGACTCCTTAACTTTATTTTTTGCTCTGACCTCGCTGTCTGGTTTCTCTTTTTTTAACCCCTTCATGACTACCACCATTTTATTCTATTTTATTCTATTATTTATGCTGGCGACGTACACTGTACGTCGTCAGTCACGAAGGGGTTAAGATGTCTGTGCACAGTGGTTTGCAGGACCTTTTTCTGCACCCCTCCCCATTCTTCAGGGCCCTCTGCTCTTCTGTGCTTATGGATCAACCCCTACATTGCCTAGGTCGTCTTGCCCCCCTGAAGAGATCTCTTTGGTGCCCTACACATCTACAGAGGTGGACACATTCCACAGAGTATTCCCCTTGTTAAGATTTACTTTAGGGCTCTCTTGGTGGTGTGGGCACCAGAGTCCAGTCTCTGGAGTCGGTGGGGGGTGACGTCCTATCCGGGTTGGTGTTGTGGCTTTGCAGTTTGGGGCCTCTGAAATGCAGAAGGGAGGGGGCAAGCCTCATGTGGGCTTCCAGCCCACCGCAGAGGCATCAGGCATTCAGCAGCTGGAACACCAATGAAAAGCAGCTGGAACTGGCTGCTAAAGGCCACTTCTGCGCCCTCTACAAGATAAACATTCAAAAGGAGCATCAGTTGTGGAGGAGGAGGCATTTCCCTTAACATGAGATTAGCATGTCCACATGTAATCAGACAGCACCACTGCAGTGGCATACATTACCAAAGGGAGGGGGAAGGAAGTCACCAGAAGCAGTTGTTCTCCATCTAGCAGAAGAGATTCTAAAGTGGTCAGAATTTTTGGCATCCTTGGCAGCAGTTTATTTGAAGGTAACGCTCAAGCTTGTGGCCAATTCCCTAAACAAGCACCAGGTCCTAGAATTCGAATGGGCCTTAAATCGTGAAATTTTGACAGTAATCACAGGCAAGTGAGGTTTGCCACAGATGGATCTGTTTGCAAACCAGGAGAATGTAAAATGTCCACATCTTAGCCCATCTATTGGAAAATTTAGCTGTTAAAATTTAAAGCAGACCTGGTTTCTGAGGAGCAGTTGATACAAAAGGGAGTGGCTTTCTGATATACAAGGGTCTCTTCTGCAGGGGCGTCCCGAGGCATGGTGTCACCCAGAGTGGCCACCGGGTGACACCCTGCTGTGACCTCATCACACTTGTGTGACTTCATCGCACATGCGCAAAGTCATTGCGCACGTGCATGATGTCACGCGCTGTTACTTGCCGTCAGCCATCTTGGTGATGGACACTGGTGTTCTGTCAATAGCGACACAACACCAGCAGAGAGAGGAGGGGCTATTCAACCGACAAGATAAGGTATGTCGCCAGGTCCCCTCTTCTCTCGTGCAACTGTTGGGCTCTTGACTTTTCAGAGGTTGTGACACCAAAATGACTGTCACCCCCTCCGATGGTGTCACCCGGCTATGTACCCCTCCAGTGACTCCACTGCTCTTCTGTCATGAAAGCCCTACTTATGTTTTGGGGTTTTTGTGTTTTTTTTGTTTTTTTTACTTTTGAGAAGATGTTGGCTAACAATCCATTCGTTTCTAGATGTATTTTTTAGAGTGTTATCAGAATTAGGCCATTGCCCTTGAATGTTTGTTTTTCTCAAGAGGACCTTTTGGTAATGTTGCAGACTCTAACCAAAGAGACTTTTGAAATATTGCATTCTGTACTCTTAAGAATTTTTCCCCTTACAACTGTGCCTTTAGTGGTGGTGGCTTTGGTGTACATTTTTCTAACTACCTTCTTCTGAACACTGAGCCTGTTTTATTTTGCCCATTTGTCGTCTGCTTAACATTACACACATTACCTATGTTCTGTCCCTATCCCTCTTGCAGTCAAAAATAACTTTCTCAACTCATGGTAAGATGTGTGTTGAATTATCTTGAGGTAACTAAGGAGTTCAGAAGGTCACTCCCTATTCAGTCTACATTAAAGAAAACTGGACTTTACTTATGTATCACTCGGCTGTAGATCCTCAAATCATCTCTGAACTCATGCTGACACTGTCCTTCCTTCTGGAGGGTGGCTACTTTTGTTCCCCATGATCCCTGTGTGTTGTGAAGTAGCCACCGCTCCAAACTCACTCCCATGATGGGCTTGAATCTCACATTTAGTTTACTGATTTGTTTTGAGATTATAATCCATCACTGGAGCGAGATTGTAGTGGTGGCTACTTTACAACACGCACACGGACAGTAGCCACCCTCCAGAAGGAAGGGCAGTGTCAACAGGAAATCGGAGCCGATTCGAGGATCTGTAGCTGAGTCATGCACAAATAAGGTCCAGTATTGATAATGGTTATTGTACTTGAATGCATTTTTTTAGATTTACCTCCTGAGTTTTTAGTGTCCCTTTAAGCAAGCAGTTGTGATAAAAGTGGAAGTGTTTGTCAGTAGGCCTAGGCAGGGTGGATAAGTATCCTTTAAATGTATACGTATCCTTAAAAAGGAACCTGCACTGGGAGGAATATATGGTCCGCCATTGATGACCTATGCTTGAAAATGCAAGACTTGCTCTTGTGCTGATACTGTTACTATCTGTGTCCATGACCCAGAGTAAGTATGCAGCCGGTGAAGTCAGACCTCCTGATTTGCATACTTGTCATGGTTCACCGGAAGAGCAGTGTGAGAGCCAGGCAACTTGGAATTGCCAGAAGTGTGGTGGTCTACTTCTTTCCCTTAGGTTTCTATTGAGATTGTTTACAGATGGCCTTATATTTTGGGTTCATTAAATGGACTGAAAGTATTTGACATCTACCTGATGAAAACCTAAAGCATTATTGTAACAGAAAACACTTCACCAATGTCTGAGGTTTTAATATTTATTAAGAAGTTTCATCAGTTATGAGGCAAGGTGCCAAACCATTAATTCAGGAACTTTAGCACGTGTAGGTAAAGCTGTACATATTCTTGAAAATACTTACAGGGCTATTCACAAAAGGGTGAAGAGTTTGGAGAAAGCAGGAGAAGTGAACAATCTAGGACAACATAGCTGATTTAGAAACATTCTCCAATTCAGCTCACTTTCCAGTTCAGCTATGTTGTCCTAGATTATTCACTTCTCCTGCCTTCTCCAAAACTCTTCACCCTTTTGTGTATAACCCTGTTAATGTATCTAGGTGACTCATACTTTGTTTTATTCAGGCCTTCATTTGGTTGTAAATGTTAATGGATGTCTCCTGTGTGTGCGTGAAATTTAACGCAAAATAGTAAGATAAATAAATATATTTTGGAAATTAGCTGTATATTTCTTGCTATTACTATGACCCACCACCCGAAAAAATAAATAAAAATTGTTCCACTCCTGACATGCATGGGGACGCCACATTTCTAAACAATATTCGTTGTGTGTACCCGTAGTAGGGCCCAGAAACCTTAGTGCACATTTTCCATTTGCTAGTCTAGTTGATGCTTCGGTCTGGTATGCGTGTAAATGATGAATAAGAGTAGTCACTCGCACTCCAAAGGTAGTAAAGTCAATAATATTTATTGACTCAAAATGATGCACATCTCCTTAGCACTTATGCGTGTAAGGTGGTTTTTTTTTCTCTTTAGGAAAAATTAGTATTGCTTAATGTGTTTATTATTTGAAATGCCCTTTTGACTTGTTGTTCTTTCATTTCTTTTTCAGTTATTTACTGTACAGCTGACACTAGGAGATCAGTCATGGGATGCAGAGAGCACAAGCATTAAGAAAGCGCAACATGCCGCAGCCAGTCTAGCATTAAAGGAAACCAAACTCCCCAAACCTGCCGCCAGACAGATGAAAAACATGATCAACAATAACCCAGGTGAGCCCGATGTTACGTTACTCATAATCCATATTTGGATAATATTTTACATGATTTAGTAACTTTGATGAGAAGTATATTGAGGCTTACACGGTCATTCTACCCAAGACTGACATTTCAGTTCTTATGCTGCCTTCTCATATCTCTCGGGAAGCTAGAGTTCTGGAGTGTTCTTGCTGGTTTCCCTGTCCCTGCTGTTGCATTCTTTATAATGAAATATCCAACAAGACTTCATAATGATCATAGCTGCTGGGAAGATCCAGAAGTTTAGATGTAGATATTTTTTGTCTGCATCCCTGAGGGATATAAGAATTCAAAGGGTAATTTAATTCACCAGTGTGTATCTGAAATATGAGGTTTAGGTGGACTGGGGTTCCTTTTATAGACTTGTCATGTTTAGGAGTAGTTCACACTGCACTGGTTTTCTTTGCCGCGTTTAAAGAGTTTTAAATGTGGCAAAGGGAAACATTTTGTAGAATTTGCGGTTTACAAAGACATCATACATACATCCCTTTTGGCTAGGAGTTCCTGCTAATGTCTCCTGATAGCTGTGACAGTCTGTCATCTCAACCAACTATGTGTAGGCTTTAACTTAAGGTGATCTAGAACTAATAGTCTCAGCAGTGCCGACACATGGTAATTGTTTTTATCTGCCGCCACACAGAAGCTGCTGCACGACGTGGAAATGTATATTCATCAACAAGACCCTCTGCTAAAGGTAAATAGATGCCAGCATTGGCTGAAGGGCAATGTTACTGTAATGGGCTGGTATTATTTAGTTAATACACCAGTGTTGTCTTATGTGTTCATGTCACATAGTATGTGGACTGCAGGAACCTTAACAAACATGTGCTTGTTAACTGAACTTAGTTTGATTAGGTTACATGGGAAGGGATACTTGTATAGTTTGATAAACTTTGTTACAGTCGTGAGACCGTCTCACTATGTAGTTCCACCTGACAAGACCACTGTCATGGGAGATATGACAGAAGATGTCAAGCCATTACTCATTGGTCTGTAGTGGATGCGACTCTCGGGTGTAGAGGGCTTCATCTATAGGTCTTGCTGAAGAACCGGGTCAACATGTGCATGGCTAGCGTTAGCGTGAAACTATAACAGAGGCATTTTTACAAAGTAATGGAGTGCAGGAAGGTGAGTGTCCTGGAAAAAATACTATACATGCTGTCATTCCACCTATTTGCCACTTAAAGATCCCTGTGTCATTGCATTACTGTGACGTTCTACCTGCATCTATAGTGGAGAGGGATTCTGAGCTTTTTCCATACACTTCTGCAGAACTAACTCATTGGGACTGATGAGTAGATTCTTCACTGATGGTCTGTCTTAGTTCCTTATAAGCAGGACTGGAAGAGGTATGGTCAGCACTCTAAGCTAACTAGGCTCTTTTTTTTCATTGCACAGTGCATTCAGCCTATTTCAGCAATGGTGAATATTCTAGTACAGGCTCACTGTAACTGATAAAATAATTAAGTAAACATTCCATTAACCTGGGCGATTATAACTGAGCAGCTAAAGTTATGCCAGAAACATTGATTTTTACTTGTAAAAGCACTGCTTTGCTCTGTTGCCTTCTAAAGCTTCCCATTGGTCCTTTTTTAAAGTGTAATTTGAATTGATTCTGCATAAAACTTAAATCGCCTAGATTTCTAGATATGCAGCTTTCACTGTTCATCTTCACTAAGATCCCTGAGTGTGTGGCCAGTTTCTTTAATGTGACCTTGACCAGGTGTACATTAATATATACAATAGCAGTATGGCTAAATATCAGGCACCATGGCTGGCTGCAAATACATTTTATCCTCCTCATGGTTTTTGGGAGCCCCATAATCTCAAGTGTAGTGTTCATTGTTAACCTAGACTTGGCTTCCTTGTCATCTAGTAGTATCAATGCCAGAGCCTCAGCAGCTAAAACAGGTTGTGATGTTAAGCTGCTTCCTGACAGGGGCCCAATTTACGGTCCCTAGTTCAGGTCTAATTCAGGCAAGTGCAGGGCCGGAATGTGGACATTACTCCCAGGATGTGGGGGAACCATTTGGAGGATTTTAAAATCGATTACAGTACGTTCTGGTTTCTGCGATATATCCATATTGTTACTTTAGTTCAATAGTTGGGGTAGAGATATACAACAGTTAACTGGCTACAAAGACATGAACATGGGAAAAAAAGGGGCGTTTAGCTGTAGCAATGATTTTATTTATAGATGTTCATCAATGGTCTGAATACATTTTTCACATTTTGTTAGATCAAATCCTGCTTATACTAATTTGTCGTATGCCTTTGTATAATAATGTAGCAATGTGCATTAGGTATACTAATGTACATTTTAATGTAAAAAAAACAACAACTCTCATTCTAGTTTAAACTTATTTTAGTAATGCTATTCGTTAGGGATGCACCAACATTTCAGCTGAAAATGTTACTATGGGCAAAATGCCGATTTACAAAAACGACCAAAAAGTTGGTAGATCCCCAGTTTATCTCCTCCCCGCTGAGCACCAGCTGCAAGCTTTGGTTTGTGTCCCCTCCAATCCCCGCTGTTCTCTGTGTTGACAGAGGCAGCGGGAAACTGAGGGGAGACGGAGCGAATCCAGCTGTTGGCGCTCAGTGGGGAGGAGACGGCTCTCAGGAGGCCGAGCGGGCAGGATATCTTGGCTCCGGTGACGGGCGAGAGGGGGTGGAGCAGTCAGGATGGAGAGCCGAGCACAAACACTTAGCGATCAGTGTTTGTAAGTAACTGAGAATATAGCAAGCTTACTATGTCCCCAGTTATGAATGAACAGGAAGTGCTATATATCAGCCTGACAAATTTAGAATGTTCTGATTTTCAGTCTAAAAATGTCATTTTGTTGCATCCCTACTTCATGGACCAGTATAGTAGAATACCCTATTGCAGATAATCAGATTTCAGTTTTCTGGTTGGGTACTACAGTTTGCACATCCTTATCCTTGCTCTGGTTTATTAAATATTTTATTGTTGGATCAATTTTACCTATTTATTTGATGTTGCTCTTGTAACCCAATTTTTTTCCATACAGGACGTGTTATGTTTAGTAAAAGAGAAGTTAAGGGATGTTTACGCCAAGACAAATTACTTATTTTAATTAGGAAGAGTTTTCACTTTTCTACATAATTTATAATTTTTAATTGCTTCAATTAAAGGTTAAAAAATGTAAATAAGAAATAAAAGAATTGTAAGCAATTGCATACACTCTATGGGGTCTATATATAAACTATTCGCAGAGTAATTTGCCTTGTGAACTTTTTTTTACCAGGTTGATTGTAATACCACATTATGGCCACTAGATGGAGCATAGAAACAATAAAATTCCTGTTTCTCAGCTTCATCTAGTGGCCATAATGTGGTATTACAATCAACCTAAAATAAAAGTATGTGACATACGTTCGTTTTGCCTCTATTCACACAGAGATTCACAGGGTGGCTGGCTCTGCAATATGATTTATAATTTGTGTATGTGTGTATATATATATATAT